ATCTTTTGTTGGAACTACCGGGGGCTTGGGAACCCCTGAGCGGTTCGCTGCCTCATCGAATTGGTGGGGCTCAAGAAGCCTGCAGTAGTGTTTTTATGTGAAACTCTACTAGATAGAAAGGGTATGGAGAAAGTTAAAAGGAGACTTGGATTCAAACACTGTTTTGTTGTGGATAGGATGGGGCGTAGCGGAGGATTGGCTATGCTTTGGAATCCTGATATTCAATTGTCATTGCTATCCTACTCACAAAATCATATAGACATGAAGGTAGAAGGCATGGGATCCAGCCACTGGCGATTTACAGGCTACTATGGTCATCCTGAGAGGCATAATCATAAGCGATCATGGTTATTATTGTGAGACTTAGCTGCTCAATCTGCTTTGCCATGGTTGATTAGTGGGGATTTTAATGATCTTTTACATTTAGATGAGAAATTAGGCGGTACCTTTCAACCTAACTAGATGTTATATGGCTTTAGAGAGGTGGGGATGCATGTGATTTGGCTGAAGTTCAAATGGTTGGTGGTCAGTTCACTTGGCGCCAATGAGGTGTTAAGGAAAAGTTGGATAGAGGGTTAGCTACGCTCGAATGGAGAACTTTATTTCCTAGAGCCAAAGTCAGGCTACTCCTTCATCTATCCTCTGATCACTCTCCTTTATGGATCACACTTGAGCACCATTACCGAAGACAAACCAGGCGCAAAAAGAGATCCCGATTTGAGGAGATGTGGCTTCGAGACCCCAGCTATCAGGAAACAGTTCAATCTAGCTGGGCTTCTTTCATCGGCATGGGTGATTGGTCCTTCTTATTGCAGAAGATGCGCCTTTGTTCTGCGAACCTCCAATGTTGGAATTCTTCACATTTTGGCCATGTATAGAAGCGGGTAAAGCAATGTATAGAGAGCTTGGACTCTCTAAGGAATAAGCCTTTCTCAATAACAGTTCAGGAGGAAGAATAGAAGGTGATTGCTGAAACGGAAGAATGGTTAGAAAGAGAGGAGATTATGTGGAGGCAGCGCTCATGTGAAATTTGGTTGCAGGAAGGTGACCAAAACACACGTTTTTTTCACAAGAGAGCCTCTAGAAGACGGGACAAGAATAGAATTGGGAAATTGATGGATGCAGATGATGAATGGAAGCATAAATTTCAAGAGCTGCAGTTTATTGTTACAGCTTATTTCTCTTCACTGTTTTCATCAACCGCCCCTAGCAGTATTGAGCTAGTAACCAGTTGTTTATGCCCTCGAGTGATAATAGCAGATAACGACTTCTTGCTCCAGCCTTTCATGGAGGCAGATATCACAGAGGCACTCTATCAAATGCATCCTACGAAGGCCCCAGGGCCGGACGGATTATCACCTGGTTTTTTCCAACGTTTTTGGAGTATTGTAAAAGCTGATATTATCAAGCCATGCTTAGATTTCTTGAACAATGGAAAGGTACTTCCACATGGGCTGAACTTCACTCATATTGTGCTTATTCCGAAATGCAATGAACCTACAACAATGGCAGACTTGCGTCCGATAAGCCTATGTAACGTCATTTATAGGATTCTAGCAAAGGTCTTGGCAAACCGATTTAAGCTGGTGCTTCAGAAAGTTATTTCCGAAGAACAAAGTGCCTTCTTGCCAAATCGATTGATCACTGACAATTTTATGGTTGCTAATGAAATACTCCATTATATGCGGAACAAGGGGAGGAGGAAGCGAGGCTGGCAAGCTATAAAGTTAGATATGAGTAAGGCTTTTGACCGGGTTGAATGGCCTTACTTGGAGCAAGTTATGCATGTGCTTGGCTTTACGGAAAGGTGGATTAGATTGATCATGGAATGTGTCTCATCAGTGACATACGAGGTTCTACTAAATGGTAAGGAGGCAGGACAGATCATCCCATCTCGTGGCTTGAGACAAGGTGATCCATTATCGCCTTACTTGTTCATTCTATGTGATGAAGGTCTCACAGCCATGATTCACAAGGCAGATAATAGCAGGAGTTTGCATAACATCCAAATCTATAGGAGAGCACCAAAAGTTTCTCATTTGTTCTTCGCTGATGACAGTCTTCTTTTCCTCCGCGCCACTAAAACAGAAGCAGCAAATTTAATGGCCATCTTGCAAGCTTATGAGCGAGCATCTGGCCAAGTTATTAATCTACAAAAATCTTCCATCACTTTCAGTAGTAATGTACAACCAAGGGCGAGGAGCCGTATCTCACATATACTGGGCATAAAGGAAGCAGACAGTCCGGGGAGATATCTTGGGTTCCCTGCTGATATAGGTAGATTGCGCATTGCCACTTTTTCAACTTTGAAGAGTAAATTTTGGGCGCGCATTGCTGAACGGAGAGAACAACCTTTATCTAGAGCTGGCAGGGAAGTGCTCATAAAATCAGTGCTGCAATCTCTTCCAACATATGTGATGGGTCTTTTTCTGCTGCCGAAGGCCATATGTATAGATCTAGAGCTTATTATGAATCGTTACTGGTGGGGAGGAGGAGAGGATGAGCATAAGATTCACTGGATGGAATGGAGGAAGCTTGCAATCTCGAAAAAATCAAGAGGATTGGGTTTCCGTGCTATGCGGGAATTTAACTTATCTATGCTAGGGAAGCAAGTATGGCAGCTGTTAATGCATCTGAACTCTTTAGCAGCGAGAATTATGAAGGCAAGGTACTTCCCTCGTTCTACTATTCTTCGTGTAGAACTAAAATTCCCTTGCAGTGTTACTTGGCGAAGCATTTGGCACTCAATTGAATTACTAAACCAGGGTTGTCAGCGTCTGATCGATAATGGCCAAGATACAAGGATTTGGGATGATCTATGGCTACCTGGCAACACACAATTCTATGTTCAATCTCCTCGCCCTGTGGGTTGTGAGATCCAATTTGTATGTGAGCTAATTAATGAAGAAACAAACTCATGGAGGAGGGATCTAGTGCTTGATACCTTCAATGCCCATGAAGCCCGATTGATATTAGCTATACCTTTAAGCTGGATGGGAAGGGAGGATAGCTGGATGTGGAATTTTACCAAACATGGATGCTACTCAGTTCGATCTCGGTACCACAGAGCTATGGATTTGAGCAGAAATCATGCTGGCCCATCCATATCCTCATCGAGCTTTGGTGGCAATCGGATATGGTCCTTGGATATCCCGGAGAAGGTACGTCTGCTTACCTGGAGTGCTTACAGGAATGTTGTTCCCACAAAGGACAACCTCCACAAAAAACGTGTGGACATAGACTTGGAGTGTCCAATGTGTGGGGTGGAAAGGGAATCTATTTTTCACTATTTTATGACCTGTTCTATTGCCCGAGCAGTATGGTTAGGTTGCCCTTTGAGTCTGCGTGTCTCTGAGCTTAACGAGGAAGATTTTGCCTCTTTTTTTGATAGCATCACGAACAACTTGGAGAAAAAACAGTTAGAGCTCTTCTGCCTATTGTGTTGGAATTTATGGAACAGCCGAAACGATGCTCTGTGGAACAACAAAGGCCCTAATCCCCATCATATTATTGAACGTAGCTTGCATTTGCAGATGGAGTACAAAAAAGCCTTGATGTCAAAGGGTACAGGCACTGCAGCTGTTCAAAGACTAAGTGAAACCAGGTGGCACCCACCAAACGAGGGGTATGTAAAGGTAAATGTGGACGGAGCAGTATCTGAACAAGGACATATATTTGGTATGGGCGCACTTGCAAGGGACCATCACGGGGAGGTGCTCGTAGCTATGGTGTGTCAGGGGCAACGGATAGTGGAGGCTGAAATGGCTGAAGCTTGCACTTTATGGCGAGCTCTACTGTGGGCTCAAACGCTAACTTTAAGAAGAATCGAGGTAGAAACTGATTGCGCAGCCATTGTATCAGTAATCAACAGCAGAACTCTCAATATGAACTCAAGCTTGGGTATCATTCTTCTTGACTGCAGAGCACTAATGTCCTATTTTGTGTCTTGCCGATTAAAACATGTCCGTCGAACGGGAAATGCTGTTGCTCACGAACTCGCACGAAGAGCGCTTACCATTGAGGCAGATGAATTATGGGTAGAAGATATACTAGATACTGTTGCACATTTTGTAACAGGAGACAGACCCTATTCTTGATCATGTACTGGTTTCCTACTTTCTTCTCTTAATTTATGAATAAAATATGTGCATGAACTTACCATAACAAAAAAAAAAAAAACGTTTTTTAATATTATAATCTACTTAATCAAAAGATTCACTCCCCTCCCTTTAAACCAAACATACTAAACAAACAAG